TATAAATATTATTAGTTAAATATATTTAATGAAAATTTAATTATTTTAATAATTATAATTGAAATTTAAAGATTTTGACACTATTTAATTCATCTTGATAATATGGATCAAATAGTATCAAAATCATCAAATTTGGATTAATAGATTAAAAGATATTTGTAAAAAACCAATCTAAATTTAGTAATTTTAATACTATTTAAGTTATCTTAATAAGATAGTTTAAATAATATCAAAATTATCAAAATAGGATAATTAGATTATAAGATAAATACAAAAACTATTTTATATTATAAATAGTTTTGTAATTATTTTATAATTTAATTATTCAAATTTAATAATTTTAATATCATTTAAACTATCTTATTAAGATGAATCAAATGGTATTAGAATTATTAAATTTTGATTAGTTTTTTACAAATATTTTATAATCTATTGATCCAAATTTAATGATATCATTTGAACTATCTCATCAAGATAAATTAAACAGTACCAAAATTTTTAAATTTTAATTACTATTTATTAAAATAATTAAATTTTTATTAAATTTATTTAACTATTAATATTTATAGTAATCCAAATTTAACAATTTTGGTATTATTAGATTCATCTTAATAAGACAATTTAGATAGTACTAAATTTATAATTGTATACAAGCTAAGTCTTGTTTTATTTAATTTGCAAAGGTATTTATTTCAAATCAGTATTGCATTTGATTCATTTTTTAAAGAAATATGCATAATCAGAATTTTTTATATGTATATTAAAAAGAGATTATCTTTTGTATTCTAAGATAGTATAGATTTTTGGGATTAATATGTAAAAAAAAGTTATTGCCACATATATAGACCATTCTGTAACCCATGGTACCCCCTGTACATGCAAAAATAAAAACTCAGATTGATTTATCTGTGACCTAAACTTCTAGAGTGATTAAGGCTCACTTAGATTTGAATAGTTAGAATATTGTTAATAGGTGTGCTATATTTGATCCACATAGAAGACCAAATATTAAATTTAAGAGAGGCCTGTTTTAGAAAATAGCAAATATTAGATTCTGAATGTAGTTAATTAGTAAAGCCACAGGTGCAGCTATATGTAAGTATAGATTTGTTTTTTCTATTTGTTCGAGGTAGAGAAGGGTACTGGAAACCAGTAAAAATCCGAAGCTCAAAGTTTCATACATTTATAATAATTAATATTCATTGGACTTAGCCCCTGAAATTCTATCAAATTATTGATGATCAGAATTTCCAGGTGCGTTACATTTAGAAAATGCCAAAACTACATTTTGATCCTTTTATTATTAGTTCATCAAAAATGCGATTTTGGTCATCAAAGCACATAGAAGTTATAAGCCTGTCGCTTCGCTCTGGACAATAGTAGTAGAATTTAGGCTCCTCTGCTCTGCACTAGAAATTTCTTCCTTTATTGTGTAATAACATCAAAATTATTTAGAACTTGTCAAACTGCAAGTTTCTTACAAAAGAAAAAAATTGAAAAAAAACAAGAAAATTTAAATAAAAAATGTCAATTATAGGCAGTATTAAAAAATTTGAAAGTGAAACATTTTAAAATAATTCAACGGCCATATTTTTTTCCCAGGATTCATAACGACTAAGCGGGTTGCTTATATATTTTGTTGAAGAGTAATCAAATGATAATGTTGATAATGTTGGAATGATTGTATCTGCATTTTGGAATTCTTCTTTGATTACTAATTTTTCTATACCTTTCACATTATTATCATTTAATATATTGTACCAATTTTTTATTATATTCTTAATGTCAGACGCAGATGGCCTTTTATGGGGATCATTATCCATGCATTGGTTGGCTAATTGCTTATAGCATTCAGGAGTACCTTTACCAAATTCTGGACGTAAACCTTTAAATATTCTGCATGCTAAACGTATATCATAATCAATATTATAATAAGGCGGTGTTCCCCTAGACATTTCAGTCATAATTATACCAAAACTATAAACATCTGCTGCGGTTGTATAAGGATCATTACATTTTTGCCTACGTTTTTTATCCAACACTTCTGGAGCAATATAAGGTAATACTCCATAAAGTTCATCTCCCAAATCAGAATCATCCTTCTTTCTAGAAAGTCCCAAATCTGCAATATAAGATTTTAGATCTCCGCTAATATATTGATTATGTAATATATTGCCACTATGAAGGTCTCGGTGAACATATTCTTTCTTATGAACTCGTGCTAAATCTCTTGACAAATCGCCAAGTT